ATTTCACATCCTATTTGCAGTCCTTTGAACCTTGTCATTAAAAAAAATGTTAATTTTGACACAATGTTCCTCAGGCCTAGTTTCACACCCCAGAAATGCTACTGGCTTCAAAAAATTAAAAATAACACAGGTTAAGTATTTTTAGTTATCCCTCTGTAAGAGCTGTTCTCGTTTCTGTGTTTTGGGTTTTGTTTGTCAGCTAGCAGCTTGGGAACAGCCTTTACTTATGTTTTTCATACGTGTGTTACTTCCTCTTGCACCAAATTGCAGATGCTCCTCTGCTGGATCCAGCTCACCCTGTGTAAGATAGTGGGGCACAAGGCGAGGACAACACCCCTTCTGCTGGGCCAAAAATCACCATCCTTACACCACTGCACTGTTATCACTTGTTGGACTTCAAGGAGACATTAAGAAGCAAAAGGCATTTTTTCCCATCATGTAACACAAATTCCCACGGATTGACATGTATATGAGTAGCAGTAGGGGTTATTTTCCAGCTAAGCCAGTTTAAATGCATTTGATTGTTTTGATTAAATGCATTCTTCGTGGTGCTGAGAGGCAAAACTGAAACAGCAGAAAGAGCTACAGATCTAAACAGGAGTCAGCTGACAGCAATGTATGAGGATTTAAGTCTTATATTCTTTTCAGTCCTGGGTTAATTTTGTTCCTGTTTAGGCAAGCTGAGGATGAGACTCTACAAACCCTCAGGAAACGTCACTGCCAGTGAAGACAGTCTTGGCTGCTCTACTTCTCCCTTGTGCCCCCTCCCAGAACATGCTGCTGCAGCTATGGGATGGCCTGGGATACCTCCTGCACCACTGAAACATGGCCAAAGGCAGAGGTCAGGCCTGAAATAACAGTGGACTGTGTGCTCTGGGCCTGACAGCTTTTAATGTCGGTGCTGAATGACTTTTCTCACATTTCTGCTGCATTAATTGCCATTAGTGTCATCCTTGCGGGAACACTAAATTCATTGCTAACCTTGAATTAATGCTCTTTCATAATTCTTCAGTTTGTGCTTGGATGCAACCATCTGTGGAGGCAGCACGTTCCAAGCAACTGGAGCAGAGACAAGGAATGATACTCAGCTGGCCCTTGGATGTTCAATATAGCAAAGAAGCAGAGGTCATGCTCATAACTGCGTATTTATGGCTCTATTCTGGAAATTCATGGAGCAGCTGCCAAAAAAGGCCCCAGATCTTGCCTTGGCAGTACCAATGTATGTTGGGCTCTCAGCTCACAGTGGCTGAGCTCCAGGCACCATGCATCTGATTCTTTCCTCACACCCTCCCTTCATCCTCCCTTTTCTTGCCTGTCATCAGTTCATCAGACCCCAAGAGAAATCCTGGGTGAAAAAAATCAAGAGAAATTTTACCACTATATTCAATGTTTGTAGCGTTCCCACAAAGTCAAGGTCTTTCTGCAGTTGGATTTGACGTGAAAGGAGAAGGAAAAAAGAAGGAAAAAAGGATGGACGTAATGTGGTCGCAGCTGAAGAAGCTGCCTCATTCTTTCCCATGTGCAGTTTGCAAAGTCCATCGCTTTGTAGAGTGCAGTGAAAGATTTCAAGCTTGTCCTTGAAGGGCTGTTTTTACCAAAATTCCCATTTTCCAGATGGAAGGAGCCCCAGTTTCCCTGGGCAGAACACAGGAAGGACAAAAGCGAAGCCCCACAACCTCCTGTGTTCTATCAGAGGAGAAATATTTCCTGAGGGAAAAATCCAATCAATACTTTGCCATTTTCTAACAAGCCACAAATCATTGCAATTATGCAAAGATAATTCAAGCTTTCCAATCCAGCTGCTGAATTAGAGGAAAGCAAACTCTTAGCACTCACTACCCTTAGCTTGACATGTCAGAAGAAAAAGCTTCAAGTATAAAACAGATCAACAGAAATAATAACAAAAATGCCCCTCTTTTTAAGACCCTCAACCAAATTAAGCGGTTTATGATGTGCAAGGAGTTCAGTTTCTCAGGTAATTGCATGATAGATGAAGTAACAATAAAAATGCATGGAGTCGATTTTTCTGATGATTGTTCTCTTGAATTCCAGCATATATTCTATTCTTTTTTGTAGTTCTACAGCTTGAATAAGAAGAAATGGGCCCAATCGAAAACCTCTGTATCAGTCTTTTTTTTTTTCCTAGCCCTGGAGATGGAATAACAAAGGATCTTGAGCTAAGCATGGACATATCCAGAGTCAAACCTCATCCTGGTTCCAGAGATCTGCATCGCACTGAAAAAAGAGTGGGAATGGAGCACTTGTAGAAAAATTAACTATCTTCTGGCAGCATTTTTGTTAGGCCAATATTACAGTAAGCAGAGCAGAATATCTCCTGCAGCCTTTGGGAAGAGAAATTGAGTGCAACAGACTCGATGACTTGGTGTTTCTTATGATGACTTTGAAAATGAAGTCATCAGTTTCCTGCATTCATTTTGGACTCAGCACACATCTCCTAGTCTATGTCTGTCTCCAGAGACAAATTAGCAAGATAGTACTGGCAGCCCCAGGATAACTGCTAGCCAAGATATAATTTCTGAGACATGCTCAAAATCTTACTCTTACTAGACCTGCACAGGATTTTATTCCTTATCAAAGGCCAAAATCTACTTTCTGATGGTATATTTAACAGGCGCATCGCTACCAGATAAACACAGTGTCATCATCACATTGCTCATCATTTTCTAATTCTGATTCAAACAGTCAGCCCCAGAGAAGGAAGGAGGCAGCTTGACTTCTGTGACTGGTCCATTCACTGCTGAAAGCACCAGCAGAGCAGGCTGGCTGTGCTCAGCATGGCAATGTTTGTTGTGAAGCTCTGCAATTATCCAAGGAGCCAGGCTGCGGCTCTAAAACTTTGCTCATTGAGATCATTAGAGAGCTGTCAGATGGAACAACTGGGATGGCTTTGATCTGGCAAAACACCCGTCCTCCTGCTCCCCTATCTTGGGAACCATCCAGTTCCCCATAATTATTTTTTTTTCAAGCCATTCACACAACACTCATTGTTTTTTCATAGGGTGCAATAAGTTCTGCGAGCAAACTGAAGACCATAAAGCTAGATAGATTAATTTATTAAATAGAAGTCTGAATATTTCAGTGATTCCTCCATAAATATGTTCATAACTGATTTTGCCAAGAAAATGACAAAGCGTTGCACAGAATCCCAGAGATATTCCCTACAAATCCACTAGGTGTCCTACTGCTTACAAGCAATTAAGCTCAACTTCTATTTATTTATTTATCTAGCTATCTGTCTATTTATTTATTTATTTTTGTCCTGATTTTGCCAGTGAGAAATTAGTTTGAGTCTTTAGTGAAATTAGGTCTGGGTTTCCAGGTTGAAGCAATGCACACGTATGGGTCGTGTGACAGCAGGGCATCTGGCACACAGCAGTAGCACTTTTGGCAAATGCTGCCGATGTTTCCCACAGAGACCAGCTCAAGGTTATAGGCTGCAAAGAAATAGGAAAAGAATCTACCTTCCTCTCCTGGGAATGCTAACCAAGATCTATCCGAGCTTCTCATAGATCAACCTTGGGCTGCTATTTATAGGATTGCTAAAGTGAGTCCAACTCTGACCTTAAAGGTGGTGGCAAAATGTGTCCTTAATCAGAGCCGCTCTGCACAGGCTGCAATTTTGACATTCCTGGTCACCGTTCCAGTCCCTGATGAGTCCTGCTGCCTGCCAGCACTTGCGCCTGGCTGTGAAGGCCAGCACAGCACCCGCTCACGAGATGTCCTGGCGCTTCCAACACAGAGGGCATGGCAGATATATACCAAGAAAAGCAAGCTGTAAGGCAGCCAAAGGATAGTTTTCTCATCCCAAAAATACTTGGGGTGGAGCGCATTGTAAAGCTGTTTCTCTGTTGTGCAACCTGCAGCACATGCAGTGTACCAGGTTGTGCTGTTCGGGACTTCCCTCAGCCACCTTGAGATCTGGTGCTCGCACCTCGCCTCAGCACAGCAATCTCGACTTCTCTGAAGCAGTCATCTCTGTAGCTGTATAGAAAGCATCATTCATTGCACTTCTTTCAGTCCTCAGAAATGGGTATTTGCAATGTATCAGTGAGGGATGACTACAAGCTGATTTTCTCAGACTTGTCACTGAAGCACAGATCACACACTGGCTTGTAAACCCCATAGGCTTGCTGTCTGCCAACCACTGCTTGCCATATTTGCAAATTCCCCTCTAATTCACTCTAGGTTCAGAGTGGTGCCACATCTTCAATTTACTTCAAATCTACATGAGGTATGTGAAGAGAAAATCAGGTTTGTTTTCCATTCAAAAAATGCCAGAGACAAAGACGTTCTCAAACAATGAGTTTAATCTTCTTTACAGAAATACTGCCCACAGCGATTGGCTTTGCAAATAGGCACCAGACAAGTGTCAGCAGCAGCTTAATCACAGGCTGCAAGGGGAAATCAGAGGGGAGGAACAGCCTCGTGTCCTTGGCCCATCAGGATTCCTTGCCATCAGGCATTGCACATCACGGGAAGTGCTGAGCATCTGTCCTATGCCATGTGCTGCATGACCACCTCTATTTCTTGCTATTTGTTTTGAAGGTCTGACAGTCATTTTCCTGACAACCTGCAAGAAGAAGAGATACTCCAATCTTCTGACTGCCTGTATATATAGCTACCTGCTGCAATGCCATCCATAGGCAGCCTGCACCATATGCTGACTGTGAAAGAGAGTAACCTGGCCCAGTGCGTGTGTTTGCTGTTATACATAACAAATACCTCAAGCCTTGCCATGATTCAGTGCATTATGCATGGAAGCCATCTGGTCCCGTAGCTTAAGAAGCAAACTGAAAATTTGATAAAAGCACAAATAGACAAAATAAGAGAGACTGAAAAGATGTGTTGATATTCCAAGCAGGAGTCTCCTTCCGCAGGGGCTGATCTCATCACCCACTGCCTCTTTCCTGCTCTGTTCTTTGGAGAGCTGCTGTCAGACAGTTGCACTCTCAGCTCTGTGAGTACATGCACCTTTGGGATCCTGGCAATGTGTTTCATGTGCTTCTGCAAACCTTCTGGGACAAAATTTTTCTCACTAGCCAGCTGTGCAGAAAGCAGACTGTGCAAAATGATTGTTTGGAGCACAGCAAGTTTTATGGAACTGGTTTAAAATGCGCTATCAATTATGATTATTCATTAATATGACTATTCTCATCACTGTGCAAAATTATGCCTTATGGCTTTGACAGAAGTCCTTCACAGCTGGCCTAGATGTTCTCAGCTGTGGGGTTCAACAGGGAACCCAGAGCAGTGGAGGGGTAGTTTGGGACGACTTGGATTTGGGCAAGAGTTTGTGCACAACTTGGTCAGGAGACAGGGTTACTAAAACTGCCTTAATTGGATTTTGGAGCCAGACCAATTTTCTCCCCCTTGTGACTCTGCTTTCTGATGTTTGGAGGGCACAGGGAAGGCAGGCAGACAGAAGATGCCTATTTTAGAAAGCCTCTGTGGGGAACACACACGCTTCAGAGAGGTACACATTTGTTTCCTCTGACACTGAATTAATGGGAATTGATGTATTGATTCTGCAATTCTTCTAAAGATTACTCCACAGTTTGGCATGTTTCCAAGCTGGTTAGCTGCAATGTGCACACAGCTCAAGACAGATAGGTAATTATTCTGATAGGAATACAGTTGAAAAACTTGTGCTCTGTGATATAGAAAACTATAGCATTATGATCAGGCAAATAGAATAGCCATTCCTTTTTTATATTCCATGTCCAGCTACGTTTTTTGTTGCTGTTTTAATACAACCAACCAACCCCTCCAAAATCACAGTTATGAAGATATTTGCCACTAGTACCAATTAATTGTGTAGTTTTCATTTTGTTTTTTTCCTATTAATTCGAGGGTACACTTTTCAGAAGAAGTGCAATCTGCTGTTCTGTGTGCGTGGAGTGGATAGGATTATGGTAGGGCTGTAATAAAACAAGCTACCACTATTACTGTTAAGCAGTAATAACCCAGTCATTTACCAGCCTCAAGGGTTTAAATTGACTCTCTTTGTGGATTTTTCCATGTTTAACTGTTTAAATACACTACGTGATATGCTCTACTTGCAGACTGTTTGAATATCTCTGCTAAGTGAGCTCCTGGTCCCAGATATGAGGCAGCATCTTGTGCTGGGGATGAAGTAACTGCCTTGCATTCTGGTGCTTTGATCAGTGTCACAGCTTTTATGATCTCACTAGGAAAGTTACTTGATGTTTCTTTATTGTGAGTGTCAGCATGGTTCCTGAAAATGGTTGAAGCCATCCCAGTACATCATTTATTTTCTGGCAAAGCAGCATCCATCTGCAGTTTAAGAATAGAGCATGTTAAAACTGCATATAAATCCAAAGCACAGAACGTAGAGTTTCTGGGCAAAATTTTCCTCCTGGTCGCACTTACGGAACTCTGGAGTCGTGTCTTCATCTTTCTGGTTGTTACTCATTACCCATTCTCATTTCCTCGTGTCAGACCCAAAGCTTCTGCCATATACGGATGAAAGCGATTTCATCACAACTGTTGTAATTTCCTAGGGAAGCGTACAATTTCTGAGGAAGTACCAAAGATGATCTGCAGTACATGGGCGTAGGTGCTCTAAGAGATGTGATGCTGTCAGTCGTTCTGTTTGTAGTTTTCCACGCAAACAAAACTATGATGTAGGTGGAACTGCTGAACTATCTGGAGCACAAGTGGGGAATCTGCAGTGTATGGCTGAGCCCATTTTTAGAAAATACTGTTCAGCAGCTCTTTCTTTAAACAAAGGAATAGCTGGCTGTCAGTTGTTTGATATTTATTTTTGTGTAACTCTGTTCCTGGTCTGCTCGTGCTATAGAAATGCTGTTCTTCCACAAGAAGACAGATTGCCTGGGCTGGGAACTCCACTTCTGATTCAGGGAAGCACATGGTTTTCTTACAGTGCTGCTGATGATTATAATTACTATTTAGTATATGGTGCAATTGTTTTTGGTGTTTAAAACAGAGCAAAACAAAGCAGTTTTGCAAAGGAAAGCACAGCATTAGGAAAAAAAAAAATGGCAAATTAGGAAGTGGTTGACTGTAGGGAGGAAACTTCATCTGCAGTTTTGCTATCCAGTGCTCCCTGTGATCACAACGTGCAAAGAGAAACATCCCTTAAGTATCCCAGTAGCCCTTTGGAAAATAATGTCCTTCCCGTTCTGTAGGTATTGCAATTTATATCTTCTGTTCAGCAGCTGCTGGTGTCAAAGGCCAAGGGAGAAGGACATGGAATGCAGAGCCTGAAGTTTTTCAGCAGTAGCTAAAGGCAAAACCATCGAAAGCTGTAGCAGATGTTCCCTTATTTCCTGTCTGCTTATCAGCCCTGCAAAGACACTTCTTCTTTGTGCTTGTTGTGCCGAGTGTAACTATGGAGAGCTAATACAAGCTGCGCAAGAGCGATAACGTGAATGGTTCTTTACGTATCTGGTTATGAATGATCAAGCAAAAAATTATGGTTTCTAAGAACTCCCTCAAAGTTTTCTGCACACACAGTCATCGTAGCCCTCTCAAAAGAAAGCGGCAGTGCACAAAATAATTAAAGAAATAGTACATTATTGCTGCTCCATAAGGAATTATTAAATATGATTACTGAATTGTTGCTCCTCATTCAGCCCTGCCCTTCCAGCTGGGAGGGTTACACCAGCTGAACTGTAGTTGTGTGCCATGCTTGATGGTGTTTGTAGTCTTTACTTTAAAACAAAAGTAAATTAGTATCATAGAATCAAGGAATCCTTAGAGTTGGAAGGGACCTTCTGACTGGACCGTCTAGGATCTGCTGGGATACATTTCTGTGGTGCCTTGTATGACAGCTGAGTGAAGACATTAGTTTGGCCTCAGCACGTTCGTGTTTTGCTGGTTATTCCCAGTACACAAGAAAGAAGAGCAGCATATCCTGTCAGTATCACTTGGAGGTGAGCACAGTTCTTCGGGTGAGTTCTGGGATTGGATGCAGTAAACATTCTCAAAAAGCTAGATATTGCTTCTGTGACTGGGTAAGGGAATTTTCAGGTGAAGCATTCAAAATAAGGAGCAATGTTTAGAATTAGACTGTAAAGGATGACATAGTGGAAAAGTGGATAGATGAGATGGCTTAACAGGGCTTCATTGTGGTCAAATTAATTCGGTTTAAATAATTAATTCTCTTTTAAATTGACTCTAGCCTGCACGCTTGACATTTTGGAAGAGCTGCCATTCCCTGTCCTTCTGGTAAACGCTTTTGCATCTGTTTTCCATTGTCTCCTTCTTGAAATAATCCTTGTCACTAACAGGAACCATCAGCAGCATGGAACAAATTGACTTGCCAAGGACATTTCCTCCAACCCATTATTTATACTAGAAGTATTCTTTTTTATATTACAAAACAGACAATGATTTAAAGAATTTGCCATGTATCAAGATAGTTTAATGCTGCCACTGTGAGTCAAACTCAAACGTGGTTGAGTGAATTATTTACATTGCATCAACATTTGGCCATACTTTTTGGAGGGGGTGATTAAGCAGTCACTAATGAATCCTCAATTCCCTCTGCTGGCGCTGTCATGCAGAGCTCCACGCAGAGCTCCCAGCAGTATGAAGGATATGGATCAGATGTGTCACTCGCACTCCTCGGCTGTTAGCAGATCGATTTGGAGATGTAAGCAGATGAGTTGGAGTAGTGTGGATTAAGCAAGGAAGTTCTGTTTGTTTGGGTTTTTTTTGTCAAGGTACTTTAATTTGTGGTCTCTCTCATCTCTTTTGTTAGCTCCAGGCTGCTCGTGCTGAAGGTGGCAGAGCTATTATGGCAGATGGATTCAAACAGGAGGACTCAAGAGTTCTGCATGCATGAGGGGTCTGCTGAGGGTAAACTGGGTGTGCTGGACCAAACCCTGGGTGAGCTCAGAAAAGGGCAGAAGCACGATGTGACCTATATTCTCGGTGAGTCATCACTAAGATTCATTGTTTTTCTCTGTTTACCTCTGTTTCTGAGCAGTTGCTCACATTTTGAGCAAGTACACGCTTACCTAGTTGAATGGGTAGATGAGTATAATTAGAGCCCAACAGAACAGGGTCAGTAGTTGTACTAATATATGGGAACATTCCAAAGCAGTTACAGAAGAAAAGAATTTCAGATAATTAGGAGAGGTGTTGGACAGTGATACAGATTTTAAAAGTACCCAAGGTGAAATAACAGACACTAAAAATATCTGTACTGAGATGAAACCCTCATGAGTCAGTACTTGAGCCAACTTCTACTCTGGGAATTTGTCATACAGTCATCCAGATAGAGTAGATTATGGCGTAACTCCTTCGGCTGGTGGGCTTGCACTTAGCCTTCAAGGCATCTTCTGCTGAAAAAGAGACAGGTCTGAATGAATAGTGCAGTTGCAATATTATTTGGTATGTTCTGAACTAGCTGTAGCTTTTGAAAAATTGGTTTTATTTCTACCTAGAAAAAAGTCTAATAATGAAAGCTCTCTGTCTTGTATGACAAATTCACTGACAGCGCGGCCTCAGATGCATTCTTTCAGTCAATCAGGACACATTTTTTAAATACCCATGACTCTCTAGCTAATAATTCAGCAATGATGGCTCTAGCTTGCAAATGAAATGCTGAAGTGCTACTTTTTCCTTCATTCTGCATAAGGTGTTTTCTGAGTAGGTGCACCATTTTGAAAGTATTGAAAGCACTGAAAGAATTTTAAGTGCTTTGATAGAAAGAAGCATTTTGAAGGGCTGTAGAGTTTCAGAAAAGCAGTAGAGCTGTGCTACAAGAACATCAGCCTTAATTTGGGCCAGATTTTCAGTTGCAGATGTATCTGATGCATTTTCCTGGAAACTCTGCATGGCAGTTAGTGAAAGAGTGACCTGATGTTTGCTCAGTGCACAAACGAACTGCTCTGTTTGCTGATGTTGTTTGAATGAAGCACTGCTCTTATTTCCAAAGTGGAGTACTGTTGAAGCTTGGTCAGGAGCAAAGCTTTTCTCATGGAACAGTGTCAGATAGAGGATGTAAAATCTCTCCTGAGTGCATCTTGACAGATGTCAATCTGACTTGTCAGCTTTCTGAATTTTAATGATCTGGATTAATTTCCAGATAATAGGTATTTATGTAATTGAGATGCCTTATAAATGAATATGGAAATGATTCCATAACATTAATTACAGGTCTTATGGCTTAAATACTTAACAAATTAAAGGCAAATGGTGATGTGGATTGTTTCTGAGTTTATTAACTTTGTAATTTTGGTGGTTTGATTTATTTTAACGTGACTTCCATATGTCAGACAGTGTTTCCTCAACCAAAGGAAACTACGTGCTTCAATGTATCAAAGGATATGAAAGAGTAATAAAATTCAACATGCATCATGCACAGGAAGTAGCAAATGGAATCTGAGATTTCAGAACATTTGTCTGTGAAGCAAATAAATCAGTAGTTCTTGCAGAATCTCATCTTACATGTTGTTAGTCCGTTACTCAAAGATGAAATGGTTTTAAGTTAATTATAATACTTTGCACTTCTGTAGCTGTTTCTCTCAAGAATCTCCACAAATATTAATTAAGGCTAATTGTACCCCTGAGAAGTGGCTAACTGGCAGATATACTTCACTTAAACCATCGTGCTATGACTGATCCTTAGAACAGAATACTAAAAATTTAAACAGCTGGACTACATGAGGGCCTGAAGTAGGCAGCGGGGCCTCTTTGGGTGCATGGAATGCAATTGCTTGGTCTAGACTTGAAAGTAAACCTAAACGCAAAAAAAAATAAGGAGCTGAGATGGGGAGTAATCAAAAGTGGTTTTAAATCCAGTGTAAGAGGAGGTACCCACAGCACCACAGCATCGTGTGGAATGACTCTGGGAGATGAATCGGACTGATTCAGGGAAAAGACTATTTGTAGAAATTGCCTCCAGCTGGGCCAAGGAGCACGAGTCCAAGGGAAACCTCCAAGGCTGATGCATGAGCAGCAGTGATAAATGTCAGGTCTTTACTCTCACTCCTGAGGTACAGGAGCTGCTGAAAATAGCAACAAAAGAGCAATATTAGTGTGTTTGTTTACAGCCTGAGACTGTTATTTTTGCTGGCAAATCTGCACGCATAATTTCCTTCCTGCTATTACTCCACAGAGAGAAGCTTTTGTTACCGTGCTTTAATGATGAGAGCGATACTTAGTGCTGCACTGGACAACAGGTTGTTGTTGTAGGGATGTGCATTAGGACTCGGACCATCCTCAAGCAACATTTCTGCTGTTCTATTCTTTAAAAATCTGCTGCAAATATTTGTTTAAGAGCTTCTGTTGTCTACAGGAAGAGCCACTCCAAAAATACACTCCAGCTGTACATATTTATTTGCCTACTAATTACAGGAGAGGAGGTGTGGCATCACTTGCTTGATACCCAACACGCAGCAACACAGCAAAGCTTGATGTTAACTGCTTTATGATGCACAGTCCTACATCTTCAGATGCACGCTTTGAAATTCTGAGGAAGAAAAGCACCACTGAAAACTGAAAAGATGATGAGTTTGCATCTTTTTTTTTTTTTTTTAATATATGGAAAGTATTTAGAAACATTTGGGTCTCCTCTTTGGGAAAGTTTTCTTTCCTTTTTGCTTCCCAGCATTTCTGAGCTTTCGGGAATGCAAATTTTCACATAAATAGTGGGCAATAAACCCTTGCTGAGAAAATCTACCTGCTGGAGAAAAAATCTGCTCGTTTTATCCAAGTGGAATGCCTACACACTGCAGTTAGAGTTTATCCTTGCTCATATATGACAGAATTCTCTGTTTGCATTTTGTGAATTGCAGTTCATGACACACATGATTCTGATTCCTAAGGAACCCCCCTGCAGTGCTTCTGCTGAGCTCAGTGACCGCTGGATCAGGCCCTGTGTTTGCTTCATTTCCCCATATTTCTATCTGCTTCACTAAGTACTTTATCTAGAGAAGGGTCTGAGTCTTCTTTTTTGCATACATGCATGATATTTTATTGCCTCTTCTATAATTTACAACCATTAGTTTCCCTGGAGTGCAAAAGCTTTTCGGAAGGACTATACTTGAAGCAGTAAAAGGAAGGATAACTGCACCATTGTAGTGCTGCATCATAACATTTAAATACATTATTATTTCATAATCTGTCCTAGAGCTTAATCATTGCAGGCAGGGACAGTCTCTCTATGTCAGAAGGGATAGAATCCAGATTTTCAAATAAGCATACATTAAAAAAAAATAATAATAAATAAATAAATAATGCTGCTTCCAGTGTGATTCCAGCTTGCCAAAGACTCCATTTCATTGCATAAGCCTCTGGATGTAGATCTATTACTGTATCATAAAGTGGGTTACTGGACAGGGTAAGACAATCCATCCTCTGAAATGCAGACTGTTGCTTTGCCAGTTACATGGTTTATACTTACCCACTATCATTACATTTATAGTTATTTTTGCCAATGCTACAGATGTGCCATGTCTTTTTGGAAGACATTCTCTTGGCTTCTTTTGGAGTCTCATTCTTCCTCCATGAAGATGTGAGTGAGCAGAGCACACAGCACAGCCAAATGAATTCAAAATGAATAAAATTGGTAAGAAAATGGGCAAATTAAGTCCTGGATTGCTTACTTAAGTAACTGAAGTAGTTTTGCCTATGGAAGCCAGTTTCTGCCAGGAAATAGTGGAATAATAATAGCTTTTAATTTTTTTTTTTTTTTCTGAGCACTCTTGAAGCCTCATGAATTATAAGCAGTCAGATCTCACAGTCCCAAGACAAAGTCTGTTAAAACCATGTCCTAGGACAGAGAAATTCTCAATTCCATTCCTGGCACTGTCTCTGACCATCTGTCGCTTGTCCTCTGCCTTGCTTCAGTTTACCCATGTGTAAAAAGCACTTAAAATAAACAAAACCAGGCTTTGAAAATAACTTCATTACTACAAGCTAGAAATTCAGAGGTTGCAACATGGGAAAAAATGGTTCTGTGGTTGCCAGTCCACAGAAGCCCTGCAAGTCCCCCTGGGGAAGCTAAATCCGACTGACAGCTCTCCACCCCATACTTGAGAGGACACCACGTTGAGCATCACAGTGCTGCCCACCTGCAATACATATGGTGGTTGTCTCATTCAATTGTCTTCCAATGCATGCTAAGAATCTGATCCAACACTGACTGCAATAAAGAGGAACGCTTCTATTGACTTAATGATCTCTGGGTCAGTCTCCATGTGTGTGCAGAGATCTCTGCCTTGAGATCCCCAGTGTTCCCATGAACAATATTTTAGAGAAAGGCTTTGTTTGACTAACATATAGACCCATTTCTGTGCAGCGAGCCTGCAGGAACTGCGCATGCAATGAATGTCTGCCTGTACAGTAACACTATTCACTGATGTTGCTCTTTATTCAGAAGCAAATACAGCACTACAGTCATTATTGCCCACAGACCCTTTCACACGTGCCATTACTTGAGTCTTGATGTGGACAACTGATGACAAGCTATGGAGGAAAGCTTTGCAGTTAGATATAAGATAGGAGACATGGCTTGACAGAGGTAGTGACAAGCCAGTAATGAAATGGAGCACTACAATTACATGTGCTGGTGGGGACCTGGGGATGAAAGTGTGCCACAGCCAACAGAGAGAGAGAGCAGGTAGAAAGCAAAAGAGGGTTGGTGGAACCAGGGGAGAAGGAGATGGAAGAACAAGAAGGACAGGACGGAGATAAGCAGTGTGGGTAGCTGTGATGGTGGGACTGGGAGAAACTATTTTGTTTGGTGTTTGTATCAGGAGTTGCAAGGTAAGGTCTGCATCCCTGGCTCCAATTTGCTGACGCTGACACAAAATATAATTAAATATAGATACGTCCCTAGAGTACAGAATTGGTGGAAGGAAATAAACAGGTTGGGCCATAAATTAACTGGAAATCAAAGATATATACATAAAAGTTACCTATTATGTGATCTGAAAAGTATAAAAACTGACACGGTAAGTTTAAGAATGGTATTTCTGTAAAATTAAAGTTTCCATTAGCAGCTGACAAGAGTATTCTCATGGAACCTAAACTCCAAAACTATTTGAACTATTCACGGTCAGTGCAGTGACTTTGTGTCAGTTTACAGGCAGCTGAAACAATACTTAAGAGCTGAAAAAATGCTCTGGTGGGTCTGTTCCTACCATAGAATGGAAGATAAAATCCATCCTTGAATCTAAACACCAGAGATCTAAACATTACACCTGTTTGAAAAATGAACAAGGGAAAAGAGCACAAAATATGCTAAATATCAAAGTTACTGACACAAGCTAAAAGATGGACTTTATTATTGCTAATTATTTGAAAGCACTTCCAGGATTAGAATCCATCCAAAATGATCATAGGATGTAGAAATTTTTCTAACAGATGGCTGCAGAATTCAAGGATTCTTGTCAAGCCCAGCTTGCTGCAAATACCCAGGTACTACATTCTTATTTTCTTTATTTACTCCACCGAATATCGTTGAGAAATAAAATGTCCATGAGTGTGGCAATAAATGCATTTCATGCAGCAGTACAAGAAACGGGCAATGTTCTCGCAGTCCCAGCCTGGGAGAGAGGTTGCCACAATCCTCAGGCAGTGCGCTGTTGATCAAACAAGAATCAGACTCAGCACACAAAAATCAAACCTGGCAGCACAAAAGCTGTGTCTGCGTGTGCAGGCTCGCACACGGGTGCCTCTGCCTGGGTCGTGTCAGCCACTCCATTTCCTACACGGCGCGTAGGAGGAGCAGCATTGCTGCTATAAAAGGTCATATTAATTAAAAAGTAGGGGGAAAAATTAACGTTTTGCACTTAATTTTCGTGTTCTCCTTTCCAGCCAGATTTGCAAGAGGGATGAGTTAGATCTGTACAGTAAGTTTGAACACACTTCAGCACTTGCAGCCCGAATTCAGAACCGTATCTGACTTTGTAACAAGCCACATCAAAACCCTCTGAGCCAAATATCCCTAACTGAGGGAAGCTTGAACTCCAAGCCAAAATTGCACGGTTGGAGCCTATCCCTAAACATCACTGCAAAAATAGCACATCGGTGCAACATTTGGAAACAAGAGCACAGCCCGTCTCGGATGCCAGGAAAGCAGCACCCCCGTGTTCCAGTGCAGGCAGAGGGCTTTTTGTTGTGCTCAGCAACATCTTGACGCGCTGCACTAATCTGAGCTGCGCCTTCTTCAAAGGTTATTTTTGTCTCAGGTTCTTTCATAGTCTTTGATGCAACAACGTGGTGTGGGTTACATCAGGCCTGCGGGGAATCCACAGAACCCGTCCTGTTTTTTCCAGGTACCCCCGCCCGGCCGGCGGGCACCACAGGTGAGCGAGGCTGGGATCTTTGGGCCACAGATGGGTTTCTGGTTAATTTAAAGGCGCCGGAGAGGGAGAAGCTGTGGGACCGAGTGGGGAGGAGAGCTCTGCGCAAACGGTGCGTCGTATTTCGGGCTGTGCTGGAGGGGTTCCGCCCATCCGCGGTTCCTGTGGACCCCCACAACTCAGGGAAGGAGCGGGGGTTGAAATTAGGGAAGCGCGGACAGCCGAGCCGAGGCGCCCGGCTGCGGGCCCGCTCCGTCACACGGAGCCGCCCTCCTCCGCGGCAGTCCCGAGGCGAGCCGAATCTCCCGGCTCGGCCCCGGCGCCGTGCCCGCCCGAGGGGCAGCGGGCGGTGCCGAGTGGGGGGAACCGACCTCCTCCCGCGATCACGAGCAGGCGCCCGCCTCCCCCCGCCCCCGTGACAGCCAAGATGGCGGCGCCAGGAGGCGGCGCGGAGGGGAGGGGGGATCCCGCCTGAGCCGCCCACACGGCGGGAGGCGGCGGAGGCGAGCCGGGCTCCGCTAGGATGAGATAAGGGCGCGGGGACCGAGCGCTTTTCCCCTTCCCCACGCCCCTTCGCCGCCCGCTGCTTGGCGCTGGGGGCCGGGAAGCGCCGGCGGCCGTTCCCCTGCCCCCAGGAGCGCGGCCCCGTGTGAGGTGAGGGCCGGGGGGAGCGCCGAGCTGTGGGCGCGGGGGGTGCGGGGACGGGGGGGGATTCTCCGAGCAGATGTTTGGGGCCGGGGCGGCGGGGAAGGAGTTCCGCAGGGTTCGGCGGGATGAGGGGCCCCGCGTGGGCCGCGCCGAGCAGCGCGAGCTCGGGGCCGCCCCTCGCGCGGGGCTGCGGCGGGAGGCGGGGGGCGGGGGGGCTGAGGGGCGGGCTGCTCTTCGCGCCCCCTCTCCTTCCGCGCCTCCGTAACTTTCCGTCGGGCTGCGGCGAGAGGGAGGAAAACTTTCTCTTCTCCCTCCCGACCCCCAAGGCGATCTGGGGCCCAGCGGAGCCCCCGGCCCGGCCTGCGGGCCTCGGGCCGCGCCGCTCGGCCGCGGTGAGGCGGGATCCCCTCGCGCTGCCACGTTACGGCCGGGAGCTGCCTTGTCCTGAGGCGCGCGGCTCCAGGTAGGGCTCCCGCGTGGCTCGGGCAGGTGCCGCTCGGTCGTGTTTTTGTTGTAAGTTTATCCTCGGCTTGCAGACCGCGGCTGACTTCCAGCTGGATTAACGTGGCACGCTGGACATCAGCCCTGACATTTCAGTTCTGTCCCGTCATGATGTCTGCACGCAGCGGGGTTGTTGGCCGAGGAGCGGGAGTATTTAATAACTCCTCGGCAGCGGTTGTTATTCCGGAGTCGTTTCAAACGGGATTTTAACGTGGGCTGCCCTGAGAATGGGGATTTCTAGCAATGAGGTCCCGGCACCCCGTTCTGAGGTTGGGGTTTTCTGAATTAACTGAGCATCCTGGACGGCTTTTCACTCCATTGTGCAATTTTTCTCCGAAGCTGTTGCTCAACTGGAGGTTTCTGTAAAGAACGTAACACTTCGGTACGTAATCTTTTTCACTTTCTGAGTGATTAAACACAAGTATTTGATGTTGATCCGTGATGATTTAGGAAAAGGAATTGTAGCTGAGGAGTGAATGGGTTATTTCTGTTTTGTGGGTCATGCAGACCATCTCACTTTATGAGAGTCTCCCGTTTCTCTTTTCTTTTTAAAAATTCATATATTTAGTGAAACTCGATCCTGTCTGATGGAGCTGGGGGTCTGTGGGCACATGTGAAGGGAATGGCAGAGTGGGACTGCATTGCTGGGGAATGGGGAAGTGCTTCTGGGGTCGTTGTGAGCTGGCATTGAAATGGTTTAATTATCAGGAACATGGCATTTGTTTTTGTGGTTAACTTTTGGGGAAGGAGAAGACTGTATGGAGCCTTATAGATGAAATAGGAAAGAAAACCCAGGTTCTCTACAGCCTTAAGAGCTTGCATAATGTGTGTATTTTATTCTAAAAACATTAAGGTCCAGCTGGATGAAGGAACTTTGCTGAAGTTTATAAACAGTTCCTGCTGCTTTTGAACATGCTTTACCCAATGGGCTCTTCTAAATTGTGCACTTACCAAAAACTAGCGCAGAAAAGATAAGATCTCATTCTCTGAATGCTGTGCCAAAAGGCACTATGGCTGTTTTTTGTGTTTATTTTAATACAAGCTTACTTAGAAATATTTTTTCCCATATGAAGAGCATTCATATGCTCAAGTCTTGGTACTTCTTGTAGCAGCGTGGTTGCAGGCCCACATTTCTTGTGAACAGCTTGCTCTCTATGCTCTATCGTGCCCATATGGAGCTTAATGGAATCTCTATATGTGTTAATGGCAATACCAACTATTTTGTATTTACATAGCCAGAGTTAATTATTATTTAGCAAAAGCATAAATATTGACAGAGCCTGGCTTATTCTGTAGGACTCATGTGAGTGCAGCTGATCGCTGCGTAAGCATTCGAAACAATGTAAATACATGGATCACTTTTAAAAGAGAAAGTAGCAAGAAAGAGAGCCAAGTTGGTGCCTGGTTTAACTGAGGAGAATGGAGTTGAATGAGAAACGTGTTTAACATCACCTCCTGTATGGCCTTGAGGAAGGAATTGGGAATGCTGCTGCTCAGAACTGAGTCTGATGTTTAATCTACAGGATATTGCATTGAAAGATTAATCTCTAGGTAAATTGCTGCTGGAGTGTGTGAAAGCTGGAGAGAAGAGTCTCATGACTCTTAGCTAGAGGAAGACAGTCTAGATTGAGCTGAATAGCGATACTGGGGTTTGTTAATCTTGAGGTTTTAAAATTGGAGAAAGAAATTTGCTGT